CAGGTGTGCTAAGTTAGCCAGCGCAATTAGTACTGCCTCTCCCTGGCAACCTGGGCTGCTAACCACACTTAGCATAAGAAGTTATCATATAAGGTCTTGAATGTGCCCAAGACCCTGAGTTTAACCTTCTGTGCTCCACATGGCTTACAGGTGGGCAGGCAGACTTCCAGTGAGCAGTTCTCATCTGCCAAGCCCATCTGCTACCCACTCCCTGGCAGTCAGGAAGTCACAAATTAGAACCCTATGGGATCCCTAAAAGGCAACATCGGTGTTGAAGAGTGAGGGGGAGGGTGTGGAGACACTGGTCACCTCACACTGAGATGATATACATGGGACTAGGCCTCTTGTGGAAATCAGACCAGCTAAGACTTCCAGTTGATATCAAAGAAGTTTTGCAAAGCCACAAAAGAAAAAATCAGGAAAGAAACACCATAATATGAAATGAGCCACAACCAGAAACTCCACTCCAGGGACCCTCCCAAGGCATCTTTAAAGACAAAGGAAACATAGTAAATGATAGACAATCAATAACTAATTTCAGCCACGCTGGCTCCATGTGTAAGCAATCTCTTGGTGACTCCAGGATTTTAGGAGGAACTGTAAAGTCCTGATTTCCGCCTTCCAGGTTTAGGCAAAGACACAGCCCTTCAGCCCACTGCAGAGACAAAAAGCGGGGGGCCTCAAAGAGGTTGTCACATGCCTACATTCCACTCTGTCTGCCATTGGGAGATCCCCTCTTTTGAAGGAACCCCCCAAAATGAGAGCAAAGGGCAGACTGAACGGAGGAGAAGCGGGTGCCAACGCCCAGAAGTTGTTTCTCAGAACAACAATGTCTAGTGTCTCTGTGGACTCCTCCCACACACCACTCCAAAGGTAAGGCAAACTTCACCAGGGCTTTCAGCGTTTTGTAGAGAGGAGATGCCAAGACCTAGGCAACTGCCTGGAGAAGGAATAGTTATGAGAATTTACAAAGATAGAGACTGATCCTTCCCACCTTCCCATTTTAACAATGGAGGCAAACGGGGACTGCCCCACCCCTCCCCAGCACCAAAGATGCTTTCTGTACCTCTAGTTGCCAGTGGGGACCGGAGAGAGGGCACAGTCAGGAAAATGCTCTTCCTGCACAAACATGAGCACTTGAATTCAGATCCCCACCATCCACGGACAAAAGCTGGGCTCAGTACCACTGGGAAGGCAGAGACAGGAGGGTACCCGGAGCTCACTGGCCAAGCCAGTCTAGCTAATCAGTGAGCACCAGGTTCCCTTAGCAACCCTGTCTCAAGAAATGAGTGGAGAATGACTGAGGCAGGCCCTAGTGCTGACTCCTGGCATCCACAGGCATACATGTGCACATACCCCAAGTAAACAGTGAACTCAAAGCACTCAGCATCCATCCTACTGGATGTAAAGCATTTTATGGTCTATACAGTTAACACCTATTTAAATTGGGTGTAATGGCTCTTAATTGTTTTATTCTATGCACAGCAAAGCAGCCAATTGAATCTAATATTAGTCATTCATCAGATAAAACATTTTCAGAGAAGCAAACTGCTATATTTTGCCTTCAAAGAACAGCAAGCATTTTTAAAAACACTTCCCCAGAGCTGCTACTGAGAGGAAAACAGTTTAGAAATGCTCCTTCAAACAACCCTCTTCCCACAACAAGATGAACTGAAACAAATGCTTAACTCTGTATTTTGGTTTTTTTTTTTTTTAAACTAAGCCTCTTTCTGTCCACCTGTCAAAAGCAGTTGTGACCCCATCAACCTAAGAGGTGGTCTCTGGGGCTGTGAAATGTGCCACCCGGCACGGATGCCCTTGGCGCGGCTGGCCTACAGTTCTCCTTAGGATTATCCAACTCACTTGCAACAGGAGAGAGGCGATGGGCCTGCTGCCAAGAGCTCTTTCAACAGAAATTCCGAAAGAAGATCCTGCGAAGTGCCGAGAGCCCAGATTTCCAGCAGTTCACTGTCTAGATTCTGTTACATAGCAACCATGCCCGCTCACACAGGGTACCCAAGTGAGTTAATATTTTGTTTAAACGACATGCTGCCTTAACCCTCTAGGAAAACCCGAGTTTGCTTCATCACAAGGCACCAACCTAGTGGTCTCGCCTGCAACAAAAGTACCCAACAATGGAGTGATGCACTTCCTTTATTCATTTCCAAAAAGAATTTAAAAAAACCTGAAAATGGATCTCACAGTGTCTTGGTGGGAGGTGGGGATGTAAAAGGTGGCATATTCCAGTTATCACTTGTGCTAATATTGCTAAAGGCTTTTTAGCATGCTCCTAATGTGTACATGCTGCGCTTTAGCTAAGAGTGACTTGATGCTGTTGTGTTTTGAAAGATACTCATTTCGCTCAAAACCTCGATCTGAGACGTGACAACTTAACCGCACCAGACGTTCTTAGGGTCTGGTCCCACTGAGCAGCTCTGGTGTAGGCGAAATGAAAACACATGAGTGACTCTAACGTGGAAGAAGAGAAAGCCCAAGGGTCCCAGTTTCCCTGCACACCCTGGTGCCTTGTCAGGTAGGAGACGAGGAAGGCAACCAGCCATATTTGAAAATTAGCTTGCAACAACTCAAGGCTCCCCTTTAGGAACATAATTGAAGTTGTGGCAAAAGAGTTGACCAGACCAGCTCTGCTGAGGGCTTCTAGCAAAACAGTGTCATAGTCCCCAAGGGGAAAAAACAAACAAACAAAACAAATAAAAGCAAAATCCCACAAAGACTAAATGACATATATGTACATATATACATATATATAAATGACATATGTATACATATATATGCATATTATATATGCATGTGTGTACACATGTATTCCAGGATACGGGTGCTGTTACTATGGATAAGTAAAGCCCTGCTGGTCTTATACAGTAGTCTCATTTTCCTCCACACACCTCACCCACGTAAAGTCATACTAAGTTAAATAGCTGTGTGAACCACCGATGAGTTCAGTTAAAAACCATTAACACACTTTCTGATTATACAATCACCAAGGGCACATTGCACAGATTCTGAAAACCATCCGCAGGACTGACGGAAACAAGACCCTCCTCCTCTGTCCTCCTGTTACCTGCCCATCGCCAGGCATGGACACAGGCACTGGGCAGGTGCAAAGGTTCCCATGGGCACAGGGGGGCTCCCGGTGGAATGTGGTTGTAAAGACACTGAGTGATCCCAAAGCCACTTCCATGTCTGCAGCCTCGTGCATCTTAGTAGAAAAAACAAAACAAAACAAAAAAGAAACAGGAAACACCCCCTGTTGTTCCTCTACAACCATTTAGTCATCACGATGCCAGGCTTAGTCTTTTGATTTTCTAGTGAAGTGCACCAACGGGGCACTTCAGAGTCCTTAGCACGCCCAGTCCACAGCACAGCCAGCACCCAGACGAAAAGCCACTTAACTTTTCCTTGTCCAGGAACCGGTGGATGGTGGGGACATCCCAGCATCACTCGGTGTCCCTTCCCAACAAAATGCCAGCTCTTAGCCAGTTCTGGAATATTAGAACAGTCGCCGCTTACAAAAACCAAAGCATTATCCTGCAGTCTGCAAAAGCCTTCTCTCACCGACGGTTCTTCTTCACGAGATGACATAACCAGGTATGGATGACAAGATCAACCAGATGCCAACCTTGGAAACCCTGTAGCAAACGCCAGGGCCACACCACCTTCTATTACATCATGGCCAAATTACATCCAAGATTCCTAAGGATGCCCAACAGGGCTCTGGAAGTACCAAGTTAGGGTCTGACTTAGAATTTACAAAACTGCAGATCTTGAAGCTGGGAATCTCATTGGGCAAAGGCATACCTTCTGGTGAAGATAAGGCCAAAACAGACCGATGGAGCAAGAGACAGCATCCTCATAAACAAACAAACAAACAAAAAACAGTCTCTCTCAACACTCAGGAGGAGCTGTTGAGATCGCAGAACCAGAAAACCATTCTGAACCATTGAGCACTGGTACCTTACACTCCAAGTGACATATTTATTATACAAGTGGCCCCTCTTGGACTGGAGGTTTTCTTCCCCCCTATTCTTCTCTTCTCCCCATCCGTTTGGATTTTAGCAGTTTAGGTTACAATTCAAATGGTTTGAATAAGCAGCCGTATTGCTTCTTAAAGGGCGATGGGGGGGGGGTCGCAAAAAGCTTGCTTCAGCTTTTGCTTTCCAACTCTCAGAAAACACCACGCATGGCAGAGCCACCTTATTTTACACCTTTAACCCTTGCTGGGGGTTCAGAAGTGTCATCTCTCAATGTCAGCACTGGCCAGCTGTCTTTTCTTCTAAACTGCACAGGGTCCTTCTAACAGGGGCTCCTAGCAACCCACCATTCAAGCCTTCATTCCTCCAGACAGCCATCAATCAACCTTTGAGATCTGTGATTTCCCCCTGGGAAGCACTCTTCTCCGTATAGTTGCTGGAAATGTAAAACTCCCTGCAGACCAAGCATCCACAGGACTGCCTGCACCATCTCAAGCCTGTAGAAAATAAACTCCAGATGCAACCCAGCCAAGGGGCTTGGCGTTCATGGAGAAAAGTGCATGTAAGTCCACTCCCCCAGGGTAGCAGAGCCCAAAGATTCCCCGGGGGAAATCTTTTCAGAGGCCTTTGGAACTGGAGGGGTGGGGGAACTGTGGGGCGAGGGCATGAAAAGTTTGCCGCGGAGCTGGGGTCTGTGTGTTCTCCAAAGGGCACTTTCCACTGCCGCCTGAAAAGGACCAGCCAGCAGCGCCTAGCTCTAGCCATCAGGGCCAGCGTGACCGTGTGACCCCGTGCACACTGCACCCGGGTTGGCGTTAATGATAACCGCGTTGCAACTCCCAAGCTGGGAAGCAGTGGGTGGACACGGCCAGGCGAAGAGGGTTACAATTCAAAGCCACAATTCAAAGCCATCTAGCTGCGAGTGTTGGCCGGGTACCGCGGGTCCGACCACCACTGGGACCGGTGAGCGCGCTCTGGGTCCCCGCCCCGGCGCCGGGCTCTCCTTACCTTGCGCGCTGTGCTGATGGTTCTCCATGGTCGCCGCTGCCGAGTCAGCCACCGTCACCGCTGATGCCGAGGCGCTGGTCGCAGTTCCCGGGCCCGAGCCGGGGCCGCCGCCTCCGCCGCTCAATTCCGCCAGTCTCCGGTTGGTGGCCGTGAGCTCGGCTCGCAGGTTGGTCACCTCCTGGCTGGCCGACTGGACCGCCCCATCGATGCGGAGCGCGAGCTGCTTATTGTCTTCCATCATGCTCAGGATTTTGGCCTGGGGGCGAGAGAGGTGACAAAGAGCTGCATGATGTGCGTGGGGGCGCGTGGCCGGCCGTGGCCCCGGCTCTACCTGTTGGGTCACCCTAGCGGCCCGGGTTCCCCCGCGCCCCGACCCCCGGGCACCGGCAAGCGCCGGCTCCTCCGGCGCAGGAATGACAGCGGCGCCTCCAGCCCGAGCCGCGGCGGTGGCGAGGCGGCGGGGGGAGGAGGAGGAGAAAGAGGAGGAGGAAGGGAGGAGGAGGAGCAGCCGCGAACGGAGAGACCCCGGCGGGCGGGCTAGCTGTGAGCAGAGGACACCGTGCGCCGCCCGGGCCAGGCGCTCTCGGAGTGGAGCCTACCATTCGCGCCTCGCTCGGGAGGGGGCCCTGCCGGGGACCTTTGGGACCTCCTTGGCCTCGTGAGCCCCCCACCTCCGGGACACACCCCCGGAGAGTGGGGGAGGAGGGCGGCGCCCGTGTGTGGTCGGAGGTGGCACCCTCAAGTGAAAGGTTAGGGATGCATCCTGGACCCTGGCTGTCCCACTGTCCCCTCCCTGCGGCTGTGGGCAGCCCCGCCCCGGCCAACTACTGCCCCGCTCCGGGCTAGGGTCGCCGCGGAGGAGGCGGTGGATGCTTAGCAGAGAGAGAGAGGTGCTTGCATAGGGGGCCCCTTGGAGGGGAGCGTGGGATGGAGAGCCGAGGGAGGGGGCTGCTGGAGTGAGCTCAGGAGTGGAGTTCTTGCTTAGCCAGTTGCAGGGATGAAATGCCCAGCAGGGAGGAGAGCTGGTGGACAGTGAGCTAGCCACCTTCCACCCCCATCTCAGTGTCTGACCTGTGCTGTCCTTGCCAGCCTGGACCAGTGGTGCTGAGGCCTGTCTGCAGTGTGTGCACCCCCTGGATGGAGGGCCAGCTTCAACCTGGTCCTAAGCTGCTTGGCTGGCCTGAACGTTAGTGGGAGTAGGGAGCTGAAGCCAGAGGAAGGTTGGGAGGTGTGGCGGCGGCGGCAGCAGGGGGGTGGGGTGGGATCTTTCTTTTTCTCTTCTCCTTCCAAGGTAGGAATGTTGAACCTGGCTGCCTCGGTTTACCTTACTCCCCCTTCTGAGAAGAATCGAGGTAACCTTAGCTTGGATAAGCCCTCCTGGCTCCTTTCTCTCCCAGAGCACACACAGGCTTTGCATTTTTCTGTGGGGCCCTGGATTCCAGCCACCAGACCTTGTTACCATAGCAAGTTTCATTCCATGCAAATAGCAGGTTTTCAAAGGGCCAAGTGTAACCCCGCCAACAGAGTGCCACCATTCCAGTCCAGTCAACCTGAGAACAGGGGCTCAGAGAGAACTGCGAAGCCAAGGGGGTGCTCTAGATGAGATACGCACCCTCTAGGTTCAAGAGCATGTCTTGGAAGTTCACGAGAACCAAGCAGAACATGCATGCATGAGGCATTTGTGGGTGGTTGACTCAGTAGGGTAAAGAATACTTGCCCTGTTTTAGGAGGAAACTGAGGATCTGGGCAGCATTTGTCAATTACCCGTCAAGTCCACAAAAACCAGATGGTGAGAGGTTGGGAGTAAGTAATCCTATGATTCCAGCTAATCCCATGTGCTTTCCCTAAACTTTTCTTTTTGGTGTGTGTATGTGGCGGGGGGGGGGGAGCAGGGTCTCTCTAACTCACTACATAGTGGAGAATGACCTTGAATTTTTGATCTTCCTGTCTCTACTATTGGATTGCTGGCGTTACAGGCCAGTGCTGAGCTTAACAGGCATGTCACATTACACCTAGTTTATTCAGAGTTGGGATCAAACTCGGGGCGTGGGCATGCTTCGAAAACTCTACCGCCCCACTGACTTCTTTTACACAGACCCATAAAAGCATATGGTTGCCCTGCCCCTCTCCCAATGGGCAATCTTTTGCAAGGGGTGAGGACATTCTTAGATGGCAGAGCGCAGGTCCCAGGGCACAGTTTCCTCCTGTCCACTTGGCTCAGTTAGGGACCCCACCTCTGACATTAGTATTCTCAGCTCAGCTTTGACTAAGTAGGTCAACAGAGATCTGCAGAGAGGCTGGGTGTGTTTAACACCCAGATCCAGTTCTTGGAAGGCCTTTGGGGAGAAACTAGGAGGCATCTAACCACAAGGCTCCACAGTGCTTCAAAAGGATGATGTCACTGGGGAACCAAGTTTGGCAATACTTTGAAACATTATAGGTGGTGTAATGCCCTTTAACACCAGCACTCAGGAGGCAGGAGCAGGAGGATCTCTCTCAGTTTGAGCCCATTCTGTTTCATACAGGGAGTTCCAGGCCAGCCAACCATCCAGGGCAACATAGTAAGCCACTGCCTCAAAACAAACAAACGAGCAAATTAATTAGCTAATTAAAGAAAGAGAAAGGTTAAGCGAGGAATCACATTGTAACTCAGCATAGCCATTCTAAACAACCCAGAGAACTAAAGAAAAACTCCAGGAATGGTGGGAATGGTGTCAATGTTCATAGCTGCCCACCAAGGGAATGAAAAAACAGTGCTAGCCACCCACATGGTGGAATATCATTCAGCCATGGGAAGGAGTGAAAGACAGACATGGCATTCCTTATCATCATGAACCGCCAAAACACTGTGCCAGACACAAAAGGTCATGTGATGTGTGACTCTGTTCGTGTGAGAACCCAGGAGAGGTGACTGTAGGGACACAGAAGGCAGACAGGTGGTGGAGAGAGCAGAGCCCGAGGAGGAAGTGCTCACAGTGTTATTCCAGGAGTTATGTAGGGTATGCTGTGGTGGCGAAGATGTCTCAGAACTAGACAGTGGCTGTGTTTGCACAATGTTGTAAACAGACTAAATGTCATCAATTTGCTTGCAAAAGAGCGGTGGATATCATCTTATATAAATTTTGAGGGCATAAAATAAAAGGCATGCATGGGTGGTGGTAGGGGTGCCCCAGGAGTAAATTCAATCAGAAAAGGAGAGGCTATATGCAGAAGGTGTGTGTGTGTGTGTGTGTGTGTGTGTGTGTGTGTGTGTGTGGGTTCACACCCTTTATGACACCAGAAGGGCAGGGATTGTGTCTATTTGCATGATCATCTAGCTTCACCGTGAACTCATGGGCAGGAGAGCAAGGTGGCTGGGTCTTTTATTGTTTGTCACCTCGCCCATAGCAAGTGCTCCATCCTCCACCGTGTCTGTGTGTGTTTGTGCAGTAAACAAACTGAGGAAGTGTTACTCATTTTCCCTCCCTGGAGAGACTGTCCCACACACTGGCATCTTAACATCAAATCAGAACAAAACAAACATCTACGGAGAGAGAGAAGCAAGAATGTATTTTCAGATTTCTCCCGTGTGTGTGTGTGTGTGTGTGTGTGTGTGTGTGTGTCTCATGTGTGCATGGAAATGTTTGCACATCTACTTGTGTGCACATGTATGTAGAGGCCAGAGGTATCAATATTCATGCCTCTCCATCTTATCTTTTTTTGAAACAGGATCTTTCACTGAACCTGAAGTTCACAGGTTTGTTAAGACTGGCTGGCCAGTGAGCCTCAGGAATCTGCCTGTCTCTGGCCCCCAGTGCTGGGATTATAGGCATGGCCCACATTTTATGTGTGTGTCGAGGGTTCAGAACTAGGGTCCTGATGCTTGTAAGGCAAGCACCTTACTGACTAAGCTGTCTCTGAAGCCTCCCCCCCAAGTCTCTTCACATTGCTTTATGTGGTTTCATGGACCCTGATTTAGAAACGTAGGGGATGCTTCCAGGGTTTTAAAAGAATTTAAGGGTTTTGTTTAATTTGTCTTTACAAGCATGATACAAAGGGCTTTTCTCAGCTGGGCCACACTGCATTCACTTGCACACAAAAGTATCCAATCTCAGGCAGAAACTTCGGGGGATGCACCTGTTCTCACCAAAAGGTCTACTTGGACTTCCTGAATTCCAGCTTAGCACACTGCTCCTCCCTGGATGACCTCCAGGAGCAAAATATCTGCAGAAGCCATATCTTCTTATGGTGGCCCGGATAGAGGAAATTCCTAGCAAGAACCTATGCTCAGTGGGTTGAGGAGATGGCCAAGTTGTTAAAGTACTTGGTGTGCTAGCAAGAGGACCAGAGTTCAGAGTTTGGGTCCCCAGAATCCTTGCACATGTCACATGAGTATGTCAGCTTGCCTATAATTCCAGCCTCAGGTGTCAGAAGACAGGGCGTCCCCAGAGCAAGCTGGGAAGTAGGACTAGTCTTACAAATGAGCTCTGAGTGTGGAGAGACCCTCCTCAGTGAATAAGGTGGAAGAGGCATGGAAGGTGTTTATTGGCATCAACTTTGGACCTCCATACACACATGCACCTGCTCATACACATGCAAACATGCACACACACAGGCATGCATACCTTACATACACAAATGGAGAGAGACTGAGACAGACAGAGAGAGAGAGAGAGAGAGAGAGAGAGAGAGAGAGAGAGAGAGAGAGAGACTATCAAGCTATCAAGGCTCAGTGCACATCCATAGCAGACAACGCATCTGCATGCACTGGACCCTCTAAAGGGAGAACTGGGGATAGCAACCTGGATCCCCACCTATGCGGTTGCCCTCCTCCATGGTGTAACGATGCTGTCTGGTAGGAGAAGGCAACAGGCCTCATGTCCTCTAGCTTCTTCCTGGTCTGCCAACAAGTGGAGGCTAGATGCAGAAACAAGGCCCTGTAGATGCCAAGGAAGGAGCCAGGAGCAATTAACACCATGCTCTAGAGAGTGAGCCATCTTCAGGCTGTATCACAGGGCTTGTTCTAAATGACAGGTAAGGCCACAGCCTAGCACAGTCAGGCCGCTGGCTCCTTATCCTACAGCTCTCGGCTCTCCCCACCTGGGAGCCTTCCTCTCTTTTTGCTTTTCTCTTGCCTAGAATATTCGCCTCCGACTCTCTGCCCCTGATTCCCTGTCATCTCTCAGCTTTAACATTCCACTCTGACATTTCGTAGCATGGATCACCACTGATGGCTGTTCTGTGTATTTACTTGATAGCTCAAGCCACTGTGTTCTC